AGAATATTTAATAGTCTTATTATTAATTCAACTGATCTTATTACACAGTTTTAATATTAAATAATAGTTTTATACTGTTTTAGTAAGACTTACTATCTACTCTTATTACATTTTTTAAATAAGATTATAATTTCTATTTCTCAATTTAAATTATTTTTATTACTTTAAATAACTTTAAATCTTATTTAAATGTTATTAAAAAGTATTACTTTTTAAAAAATTAAAAATAGACTAAAAAAAATCTTAAAAAATCTAAAAATAGTAACTTTATATCAAGAATAAGATTAAATGAAATTAAATGAGATTATTTTCTTATTTTTTCTAAGTTATAATTTCATTTTAAGATTTAATATATAGTTACTTTGTATGTTTTTTTAATAATTAGTCTCAGCAGAATTTATATTAAGAAATGTATGAGATCAAACTAAGTAAGATTAAATGTGAAATTCATAATCTCAGTGACTAGTCTACTTATATTGTAGTGAGCTACGCCTGATCAATTATATAGACTATTTCATTACACTTCATAGATTCTTTCATTTCCGATCACTGATTCGCGGCCGCTACAAACGCGTGTTATTATTATTATTATTCTTCAATTGTAGATGTATGCAGTCAGAGACTATAACATCTACCTGAGAACTTTAGTTCTCAGGGTTTTTTCTATGTCTGTAAAGTTAACTATTATACATTCATCAATTTCAGATATATAAAATCAGAAAATTCCAGCTTAGAATACAAAAACTGTTTACAAATTGCAGTGTTTTAACATCATCTCATACTTTGAAATCATTTGACAATATCATGACAAAGGAAAAGAGAACACAGTCTTAAAGATAGACACATTAAATAGATAGATAGAAAGAAATTGAAAGAAAAAGATAAAATAAAGAAAGACTGTAACAAAATAAATTATTAAAAGATAGTATATAGCTGTTTTAACAGACTATATCTGATTGATTTTCTCCTCTTCATATTCAGATAATTCTGAATTTAGTCATTTTCTTATAGCTGCTTGAGTTTCTGATAGAAAGTCTATTAAGTATTTAATTCCTGTCTCAGTTGAGAATAAGAATCTTATATTTAATTAATTTAGATCATACTTCTCTTTCAATCTGGCTCTGAGACTATTGTATAATGCACAGTGTATTATAATATACTCAGAATTCTCATTTGTATTACAGAATGAGCATTCTATTGAGTCAAATCTATCATCAAATCTTTGTATATAAGATTTGAAATAGTCATGTTCTAGTTTCAGCTGTATTATAGATGAGAATATTTTCTTTTTACATTTAATTAAACAAGATTTTCACTTAGGCTTTGTTTCAAATCTTGAATAATGTATACTCTTCTTTTATTTCTGCCAGCTTTCATTTCACTTGTGTAAATAAGATTCTTTTATTTTTCTCTTTATAAAAGATCAGAACACAATTTTTTGAATAGATCTGCTTAATTCTGCACTCTTTTTTGCAGCTGAATCAGCCAATTCATTGTCATGAATATTCATATGAGCAGGAACTCAGTGCAGATAAATAATCAGCTTTGATATTCTTCTCTTTTGAATTTTCAAAACAGAGTTTAAGATCAGTTCAAGATTCATTTGATTATTATGAATCTGACTATTTCTAAGTCTTTTTAAAGCAGCTTGACTATCAGAGAATATTCATATCTCTTTCAAACAATTTTCTCTTCTATGAGATTTTATTTCAATGAGTTTGAAAGCTTTCACTATTGCAAATAGTTCAGCATCAAAGACTTCATATTCAGAGCCTATATTTCAGAAATCTGAGATAAAATTGATATTATCTTCAGTATAAGCAATGCCTGCGTCTAATCTATTTAAGTTCTCATTTTTTGAGCCATCTGAATAAATCAGAATAGAGTCTTTTATATTGATTGTAGAAATTCTCTTTGAATGCTGTTCATATTCTTTCTCTTTTGATAGTTCACTTATTTATACATCTATAAGAGATTCAAGCTTTTCTCTCCAGAGAGATACAAACGCGTGTAATATATACTTCAATTCTCAGTCATTCTCAATCACTGATTCTCAGTTACTACAAATGCGTGTATATTCTTCTGCTCTAAAGCTTCACTGTGTATGTCATTACATATGTGTATAAATATTTATCTTGATTACTGATTCTCACACTTTCTCTTTCTTTTCTTCTTTAACATTTTTATCTTTATTATATAAGATCTATTAATATAATACTGATCTATTCAGTGTAGGTCTCTTATGCTATAAAAATGTTCATTATCTTCTTATTAGAAAATGATTATTCACATATTATCTTCTTATTAGAAATGATTATTTATCAAGAAATATCTAAATATGTAATAATATATAAGAAATAGAGAAGTAGTTAAACAGTTAAGCAGACACTGAGTTCTTAAATAGAAGCTTACTTATCAGTCACTCTGACTCTGTAACAAGATCTTATGAAGAGAATACGATTTTATAAAGAGAATATCAGTGAAAGATCTGAGAGTTCTAACACTCAGATATATAAGAGATTTATATAATTACACATCTGATAATTAATATAATCATGTCTAATAATAATATGAAACTCTCAAATGTGAGTATAGATATAATGTCACAGTGACTCTGAGTAATGTTGAAATTATAACAGCAATAGATAGCAGACATGCATATAACTCAATGACTTTAATATAAAGAGATTCAACAATTAATTCATGTGATTTCAATATCTATAGAATCAAGTACAAAAGTGTTGAAAGAATACTTAGATACTTCTATATATTTTAATACTTCTGATCTCACTCTCTACTCATTATAAAGAATGAAAATACTTGTGAAACTGAGTGTAGATAAAGATATCATCAGTTCATTAATCAATCAAAATTGATATATTAATGAAAGATTGAAGAATTGTGTGAAATAGAAGTTTCATTCATGAATGAAAGCATGTGAATTAGCATTGTAAATGTCTGAAAATATTATGAAATATCTTGATATTCTGTTTCAAGACACTGTTATGTAACAGAAAGTATTAGATTAATTACAGAGTATCTGACAGAGAAACACTTCTTTTATAATATTCATCTCTGACTTCAACATCAAGATTCTAGAAGCAGGTAATTAATCTTGAGAGAATTGAATGAAGATTAGCATGCTTAAGAAGATATTAACTTTTGAACTCTTACAGACTCTTATAAGTGCAGATGAAGATCAGACTTATAAAGACTTCTACATACAGCTCTGAATAATGAATGACTGTCTTTGTAAGAAATCCCGCTTCTTGCAGATTCTTTACCTCTATTTCTATCTCTCATGTAATCAATAGAGCTAGCAGCCCTTGACTACACACAACTATATAGACTGAAGTTTGTGAATACTATTTATAACTCAGCTTGAATACTATTATAAATTTGATCTCTATATTTTATCTTTCTACTGTAAATACTTCTAGTAGTTAACAGTACATATTACATCAAGCTGTAAACATCTGAATAATTATCTGTAAGCACTTATTCTTACATTTCAAGCTCAGTCAGTCAGCAATCATCTGTTATAACTGAAAGAATTAGAAACTTATATACTTCAACTTCTATAAACTCTACTGCAGATACTCAGAAGCAGTCACCTGAATCATGAATAACTCTTATAAAAGAAGTCTCAGAGAACTTATTAATTACTCACAGAACATCATTCTCTGCATCTGTGACAGAGAAACTCTCTGAATTCATGAATAAATCAATCTCAGTGAAGAACATTCTTGAGCATCTTCTGTGAAATCAAGCTATTTTTCTACAAGAAATGCTTACTGTCTGTAAATATTCTTGAACTGAGTCTTTAGACATGATCTTCAGAGACACTTACAAACTGAAAAGAAACTTTCTTAAGTTATAATCACTTAAGATCACTTATTAAATCACAATCTATAAAAGATTTTATGAGTTTGCATTTGAAATTGACTTACAAGCCTGACTATGTGACATGAAAGATGAAGAAGCTGTCATCTATGTAATAACAGATCTCTATTACACTGAAGTCAAGAACTGGCTGAATTATCTAGAGAATGATTATAAGAGATTTCACTGATCTGTTCTCAAGATCTATCTAGAGAATAAGTTAAGAGACTCTGCAAGCTGAACAGAGAATATCTGAGCTGTGATTATCAATATTAGAAAAAGAGATGAGAAATCTGATGAAGACTACTTACAGTACTTTATAAAATTATAATATGAATTGAGATCTGTGAAAACAGAGTTCTGAAACAAGATCTGAATAATGATGTTTATAAAGAAACTGAATAAAGATATATAGAACAAGCTTATTGAGTAAGACTCTAAGTTCTTGACTCTGAAGAAACTGATGACTCTCATTCACTGCTTATGAATCACTGTGAGAGTCACAGATCTATGAAGAGTGAATCATTGACTGACTCTGTGAGAGTTAGAATAACAGAGAACAGGTTTATCAGAAAAAGATAATA